GGAAGAATAGGAGAATTCATAAAACTTAATGACAGGGGTACCTCAATCTCTCATTTACCAATGGAACTACTGAGCTGGTCACACACTTTCGATTTCTACAGAGAAATTCATTAATCAAAAGATTTGAAATGGTAAAGACTAATTGTAGTAGCTCTTTATTCTAATGAAGATATAAATCATACTGGCATTTTATTTTCCAAAGATTCTGAACTTTTTATATCTCCTGGAATGTCAATGTAGGCCTTGAAAATCAAAGTTATACTCCATAACACAAACAGAAAAGGCAATGAATGGTTTGTTTTATAATTAAAGGATAATTATCAGTTGAAATACCTCAAAAATGTTCATATTTTGTGTTTTGTTTTTTTGAAAAATTGAAGTTAGATAAGAGTACTATCTGAGCTCTTTGTTATCTCCAAATATAGACTTTGGGTTCTTTGGCTTTTCTAAGAGCTCTCACTGTTTATATGCTGTTCTGCTTTCAAAAGCTCCTTAGGAGTGAGCGTTTTTGGCATGTTCTGGGTCCTGGAGTTCTCACTGACAAGCTACAGGATTTGAGGAGCAGTACGCATCACTCACAATCAGATTGTGGAAAAGTGCTGGTCCTTTGAAAAATTTTGTGCTATTACCTAAAAATTGAGCCACAGCTGGAAAGTGGGGCCTGGTTAATGGAGGATGCTTTTAAATTGGTCTGAGGAGGAGGCAAAGGAGAAAGAAGTGGTACAAGTGCCTCTAGCAGAGATTTTGACAAATGTCTGGGCCCAAATGAAAGGCTTATTGTGGCAGGATTTTTTTCCCTTTTGTTTCCATTTATTTGAAAATATCTTAGAGTTGTAGTTGGGTCTATTTTATATGCTATTTTTTATTTTTATTTTTTACAATAAAGTAGTAATTAGGTAAGCTGGAGCAAACATCTGGGCCAGGGTATTAAGGACACAGTGGATATTAAAATATAACACACAACACTATAGAGACAATAAAAAGGCCAGTGGTTTCCAGGGGTTGGGGAAAAGAAGGGTGAAGCACAAAGGATTTTTTGGCAGTGAAAATGCTCTATATGTTACTACAGTGGTGGATAAATTTATCCAAAGAGATAGAAGTTCAACACCAAGAGTGAACGCTAATGTGAAGTGTGGACTCTTGATGATTATGATGTGTCGATGTAGGTTCATCAATTATAACAAATGTGCCACTCTTATAAGGAGAGGGGTCTATGGAAAATCTCTGTGCCTTCCGCTTAATTATTCTGTGGATCTAAAACTGCTCTAAAAAATAAAGTCTATGAAGTATCTGTATCTATATCTCTATGTCTATCCCAATAACTTGAGCATTTGCTTATGCTTGACTGCTATGGAAAGGAATGTTACAGAATTTTCCTCCAAGAGTATTATGGGATGATTATCTGCNAGTCTATGAAGTATCTGTATCTATATCTCTATGTCTATCCCAATAACTTGTGCATTTGCTTATGCTTGACTGCTATGGAAAAGAATGTTACAGAATTTTCCTCCAAGAATATTATGGGATGATTATCTGCTTGAGTATTTTGAGATGATCTTGTAACTGCGCACCTCTGGAAATAGAGGGCAATCCAACCTGGAGAAATATCAATTGTGCAAAAGTTTCACAAATGCATTAAAAGGGCAAAATCTGAACTATTTAGGCACCCTATGTTTCACAACCAGTATAAAAGAAATGGAGAAGAAAAGAAGTGATTTAAAAAGCTCAATGCAGCTTGAATTCTTTGATCTAGGAAAAACAACATTCCTTTTGGAAGGAGAATAGCTCTTATACTTGGGGAAAACACCTTTAAAGACAATGAGCTGTTTTGAAAGGCATAGTCTAAGTGAGAGTGTTTTAGACAAATAAAAATTAAATAGTTCTACAAAACAAAGCAGAGGAAATGTTAATTTCTGACAGCTGGGAAAACAAGGGTTTTGGGTCTTGGTAGTGAGAAGATTGAGCAAGATAGCAGCCAGCAAGGCCCTAAAGGGAAAAATAATTAGAGACTAATGCCCCTTAGAAGGGATGGCCATGAACCTTTTGGGGAATGCATATGAATCACTATCCCCTCTGAGGCATAATCTAAACTCTCACCAGACCCCCAGCCTTCAGGGGAACCTCATCACACAGGGCAGCCAAGTGCTCAGGATTGTTGGAATAAAGATGGCAGGCGAATGAATGTAGAAAAAGTAGTCATGAGACATAAACTAATGGGCTGTGGATTCAGAGTTCACCAGAAGCAGGAATTCATAGTAATCCTCAGGATTCCTCTTAAATCTAGAGACAGACAGACTTTGCCTTGTGTTTGCAACTGCTAGTCATTTGCATATATATATTATACATACTATATACACATATATATAAAATATGTGTGTGTAATATCTACATTGATTTCATTAATTAAGCATATATTATAAACTGCTACTACTATATGAAGATGCAAAGATGAAGAGGAAACACTTCCTATTTTTAAGATAAACATGGTTATTATGATTGTTGCGGAGAAGGCAGACCAATAAACCAACATTGCAATCATTTTGATATATGTCATAGTGAAGGCATTTAGAAGGCATTTGAAAAGATGAAAGGAAGAAATGCTTGAGAGATTATGAAGGGTTAAAGATAGAGAATGAATGAATGAAATTCTACACTAGCACATTTCTTTATGTGAGTGTCTTCTGGTATACAATGGAACTATTAGTTCAATTTTACCTGATTGATAGTGGTGTGGGTGGAGGTGGGAGAAGGTATAGGGGGGATAAATGGTGATGGGGGAAAATAAAGAAAATAAATAAAACTTAAAAATATGTTTTGGTAGAAATTCTGTTTATTCTTAAGCATTTATAAGTCTTTTAAAATAACAGTGAGTTACAAAATAACAGTATTTTAAAATAGAGACTTCAGATTCCCTTTCTTCCGTTCTGGGCATTCACTGTTTCTGGAGTTTAAGCCAAACCCAAAATAAGCCTTTTAGTCCATGCTATCAGGGTTTAACTTGTAAAAGAAAAACAAGTAAATTGAAAGTTAATGTCATTTGAATTTGTTAGCCCACAGGGTAAAGATTTCCAATTTTGCAGACTATGAAATGGGAAGAGTCTTGATCTATGAGCCCAGTAATCAGTCTCACCAACTTCTGGAGGCAAATGGACAGAGATGACATTTTTAGGGTAGAATGACACACGTGACCTCAGCTAACCGATTATTTTGGTTGTCTTACTACAGACCAAATTAAATTAATTTGCTTTCAGTATTGTAATTTATTGAAAAGGCAGTTATAAAGTTTCACCTGTTCTTGTTATAGTCAGAGTATAAACATGAACATCTTTGTGCTCAACTATAAAGGTATCAGTAGCTACCAACTGTAAATAATTTCTTTGTTTTTTCAAAATCAGCATAATTAAATTGAAATATATGTCATCATTAAACTAGATTGTAAAAAATTATTTCAAACAACTTTGAGATTTATTTTTATTTAAAGAATCAAGGCAATACACAGTAAAATTAAGAAATAAATCCACCAGTTATTTTAATATAATAACACAAGCAATTTTTTTTCTGTAAAGGACCAAATATTAGGTACAATCACAAAATATTTCAACATCCATCAAAATCAGAATCATACAATTTCCCCAAGAAAACACACTGAAATTCTTCTGTAGAGCACAGTAAGCTAGGGGATATAGAATATTTGAGAAACAGTTCAAAAAATGGAATACTAAATTCACAACATGAATTCTTAATAAATTTGTTACACTAATGAGCTAATACAACATAGAATATATCATAAATCCTGTGATATAAAGACAACTACCTTCATGCATGGAAATGCTAATTCTTTTATATTAATAATAATTATTAATTATTCTGATACTACTATCAGGTTTATTTTCATATTTTCTTTTCTGTATTTGCTAATTTGATCCTGGGACACAAAAATATTTAACTCACTCTATGACACATTGTTTTTATTTAGAATACAAATCAATGTAAAAGATATGATGTGATTTTATAGTATATAAAATAAAAAAGGCATTTAATTTTTAGCCATAATATATATATATTTAATACTGACATACTATAAGTCAAATATATTTTTTATTCATGATGATTTACTATACCCAAAAAATTGAGTTAGAACAATATTTTTTAAATGCCTATGTATACAATGGACTCACACAATTTGTGTGACTCAGTTTATTTAGGTTGCCTTGAGGACATAACTCTTCTTATGAATAGTTCTTAAATTTTTGCTCAAATTGGCCGAGGTCAAATTGTAATAAAAAATCATTCTCTAATATTTATTGTTCTGTGTTATTCATGGTTCCAAGTGTTGCTAATGACACTGGGTCTACTAAAAGGGTCACAGGGAAGGAGAGAGAGGAAGAGGGAGAGTGGCTGCTTCAGATGGCCCTGCCCTGGGCTTACTCTAAATAAAGCTGTTGCCTCCAGAATGAAAATCCATAAGGGCTCGGTTTATGAGGACCTAAAGGAGACTAATCTCTGATATGTGGGGTGAAGGCGAGGCTCAATGTCTCCCGAGATAGCTCCTAATTATGCTTTTGTGGTAGAGAAAACTCTAAAGCTATAATTTAAAGCTCTGAGTGTCCAATTACATTACAAAAATGTAGGTTTTAGAATCTGAAAAAACCCCCCACCATAGAACTTTAATATAATTGGATTGCTTTACTTGTGTAATAACAGATTAAATTTGTGTTTCTTAATCATCAATGGTTTGTCCATTCTGGGAATTATAATATGTTTAGGAGGGTACTACATATTATTAGGACTATTTGATTTTTTTTTTTTTCTCTTTAAAAAACACACCCTTCCCTCAATCATGGCTGAAGATTGTTTTGATGATGATAGAAATTCTGTATGTAGGACAAGTATATAATTAACTATGGAATTGCACTAATTTTCTTCACAGTTACATTCCTAATGATATTTTAGTATAAAAGCTGAGTAGTTTTATACCTTAAAAATACATGTCCAAAAATTAACCCATTAAGCACATTATGTACTTTAAAATGTTTCTTTCATCATCAATTAATGCTTATCAAATGCCCAACAGATAATACTATCAGTCTCTCCCTACAGGTTATTTATTAATCACTTCCCCATACCCACATAGATACATTGATATTATGTGCTTGCAGGATCTTCCCACAGATGACTGCAAAATAAAATAAAATAAACTTTATTCTTCACTGCAAGCCTTCATTTGGCATAATCTCTCAGATCTTCTCATTGGTCAAGAAAGGGAAATCTCCCCCCAACACTCATTTTCCTTACCACCTACACTTTCCTTTCTTCTGAAATAGGCAGAACTATTTCAATTTGGAATACTGTTTTGGGACATAAGAATGTCATTCCTTGGTACATAACATTAAGAAAATTTAGCAACTATAAAAGTTAAGCTTCTCAGCCTAAACCACAGAGAATAAGCCCATATAGTTGCTTAGTGCAGAACTAGCACTAGATCTTCAGGCGTCCCCCACCCTTTTTTCTGTACCTTGTCTTCTAATGATTCAAAAGGAGAAAACACAGCCAGGTAGGTTGATATGCACCCCATCCGACAGATGTTCCTAGAAATAAGATTAACACTGAATTGTATTGCATTTTGACAATTTATATAAGAGCCATGAGGTTATTATTTTGCAACTAGATTTAGAAAAAAGTGGGCTGATCTTAGTTCCGATCCCAAAGGCTTTCATTTTTTGAAATGTCAAAGAGAAGTTGTCAAAAGGGCTGACAATGTTACCGAGGGCAGGGTTGCTGAGAGGCGGCCATGCCTCCAAAAATAAAGAATTGATTAATTTAATCTATGGCTCACATTGGACAGCACCCTTTAAGAAATATATTTGTGATTTTTGAAAAGCTGAATTTTAAGACCTAAGGACTTAATCTCTATAAAACATTTGCAAACAGTTTTTTTAGGCATATCAATCCAGGGAGTAAAAAGGCCTGAGAATTTGGAAAGGCAAGAGAATGAAGACGAATGAAGTTGACAGTTCCAGGTTCTTATCTACAGAGTTAAAAAAAACAACAACCCCCCAAACCCCAACAATACTATTAAAATTACTATTACTTCCTTTAAGAGCTGCAAAATATTTATGATGTGTCCTCACATCATTGCATGGTCTCTCAGAAGGAATAGGAGCCAGACAAAATAGCTTGAAAAAACCCACTGAGTTCCATTAATAAAAAATACAGCAACAACAGCCAAATAGTGTTGTGATTTATCTATGTTTACAAATGAAAGGAACTGGAGCTCTTAGCTGGCTTTGATTTACCTGCATTCAAAGGAAGGCAAGCTCTATCTTTAACCTGGGAAACTGGAGTTAGGCAGAAGCCAGGCTCAGGGCCGCTGGCAGTGCTTTCCAGTGAATCAGCGAAGCTATATTTAAGCTTTAGGATTTTATATCCCAGACACGAAACCAACAAATTCTGGTTGATGAAAAGTAAACAGAAAAAGGCTGAGTGATTCCGAAGGCCCCAAGACTATAATAAAAACAACTGCTAGCATTTGTATAGCACTTGGCAGTTTATTTATGACAGTCTTTCACACAATTGATTTCATTTAGTCCTCAAAAGGACCCTGTGAGGTGTGATAAACTCCACTATACAGCCAAGGAAATACAGACTTTATGTATTTTGAAGTAATTTGCCTAAAGTCATGCATTTAATAACGGAGAAAGCCAGATGAGGTGCAGAGCAGTTTTCTTTCCATCTCCCTCTGCATCCCAGTCGAAACCCTGTCTCTCTTCTACTGACACTGTTAAATGGGTGGGAAATCCGAAGGAAAGACCAAGTTATTTTTAATTAAATGTGAGGGACATTGCATATCCCAAGTCACTCTTTAGCAGACTCTTATCTATGAATCTGAATTCCCCAAACATAAAGCAACGATCATGTTAATAACCAGCATACTGCTTTGTTAAGGGTACCGTCCGATACCAGTGTTATAGTTTGACACTGGTTAAAACATGTTTACAGGGTTCGAGAGAAAGTCTGCATAGTACCTTGGGCAGACCACTTTTACTCTTCTAATAAGATTGACTATTCCTGATACAAATTTGACTTTAAAATGATCTTGCAGTGGGAGAAGAAAAATATTATCAGTGAGTTGATGCATTTTTCTCACCTTCAGCACCTTAGTCCATTGGCTTTTCACAACCAATAAAACATGAGGAACCTAAGGCAGGGAACTGCCAGTTCCAAAGTTCCTGTTTTGGGATTTAGGTGATTTACAGCTTCTAACAGAACTTTCCTCGTTCCACTATGAACCAGACATCCCACGCTCATGCCTCTCCAAGGCAACATTCCATCTCCAGGCCGCCGTTTGAGGCTGCATTTTCTGATGTATAAATTGATTTTATTGGATGGAAACAATTTCTTTGAAGTCTCTTCTAATTCTTTTCAAGCACTAAGACTGATTGATGGTGAGCTCACTTTGCTCAGAAATAAAACCCCTACGTTATATAACCTCTAAACCAATCAAACCTTAGTTATATCAGAAAAGAAAGCAAAAGGAAAGAAACCAACAACAAAATATATAGTCAGGATTGTTATGATTTTTCCTTTAGAAGCATCTGTTATATTTCCTTTAGAAATTTGTTACATTTCTGGGAATTAAGCCTGAAATTTTAGTGTAGCATGTTTTCATTACCAGTCTCTATAAAACAATTCATAGCGTTTGGTCATAGCAATGGGAAAATGCGACCAGAAACACAGTCTTGTACCCAACAGGCTGATTTATGCTTATCTCATATAGTTCGTTTGTTCTCATTTCTGCTACCTGGATTCAGCCAATGGGCAAGAAAGTCTGTCCCAAGAGTCAGCTGCGTGAATGAGGGGTTCAGGTTGAAACAGGGATAAATTTGATGAACCTGGAAGATTTAGGTGAGTCCTTCCAAGGACCCAGACTGTTTGTCGGGCTTCGGTTGTTAGTGTAAGAAGTCTGTCTCCTGCTCATACTGTCAGAATCTTCTTTGTTGAATGCTTGCTTCATGTTTTGGCAGCACAGGAAGCTTTGGACACAGTCTTGCAGGAGATGGCCACTAAAAAACATGTATATCCAGGGGTTGCAGCAACTATTCAAGGAAGCCAGCAGCGCAGTGATGGTGATGGCAGGGTTTTCGGACTCTAAGGAAAACATAAGGGGATATTATTCAAATAGTCAAATGCAAGTAATTGAGCACTGGATAAATTTATTTTTCTACTAACTAATGAAAGTGGGGAAAAATCTATGGGTTAATATAGAAAATAAAGTCTTTTGTTTATCAAGCAAGGAAATAGGTGGTGGATGGACATTGCTTGCTTATAAAATATTTTTGTAAGCAAAATGCTTTGAAATTAATTCAAATATTTAAAAACACTATTAAAATATTTAAGTAGAATAAGTGGGACTTTTAAGAGGCTGAGAATATTAGTAATTCATTTTTAAAAATTTTGTGTCCTTATACCAGCACCAGCATGTGCTCAATGACACAGCATTTATGAAATTTCAAGTCTATAACCACATATAGCAAATTGCATTCATCCCAGTAACTCAGGCAAAAGTCTGACATCATGGACCATGTTTAGTGGTTTAAAATTTTTTAATATTAGAGCATATTCTTGTAATAATGAAACTATACAGAAGGGGATAGTTGAAATAGTGGTTTTAAATTTTTTAATATTAAAGTGTATTATTGTAATAATGAAACTATACAGAAGGGGACAGTGGAAATAGGTCCCTGAAGGATGCAATATTTAGTTGCTTTTCTTTGGTTAATTAGAAAATTCTTCTAATTTTCAAAGAAAACCATCTTTGATTGTGGTTTAAAAAATTAAATTATATTATTATTATGAGCAGCTAAATTAGGAAATTCTAGCAGGCTCTTGAAATATTTTATGTTAGTTTGCACTGGTAAACTACATAGGCATTATAACCTTTCATTGTAGAACAATAGGTAATATGCCTTTTCTGAAGGTAACAATAATTAGCAAGCATCGACTTTTCCTTGATTATAAAATACAAGCCTGGGTCTTCTCACTCATGCTATGCCAGAATAAATTACAGGCATTTAATCATACTTTCTGCTAAGATGCTATACTTTTAAAGGTGGTCATGATCCATGTCTATGACTATTAAAAAATAATGGAAATCATCAATATACCTACACATAAGTGAAGAACATTTTACGAATCGTGCCTAAATTCAGATAAAGTGATTATTAGACTGATTTTTTTTTTATTTGTCAATAATTAAGAGGCTGCTAAGACCAAGCAAGACAGGAAATGGTAAGCAAAAATATAGCATTTATGTTGTATTTTTCATTGGTAATATTATAGCCATGCAAGACTTCCCATTTGTTTGAATTAAATTCACTTTCAAATGTTTTATTTACACATATAACTTCCAAAGTATTTCACATATACTCCCTACCGAATCCCAAATAACAAGAAGACAGTTCTTCCCAGATACCCATTTCCCAACTATAGTTGTTGGTAACATTCCTGTAATATAATTCTTTTGAAAGTTTTTCTTCTTACTAAAAGGAAATATTTTTTCAAGATACAATATTAAATAATTCCTTTTGGGGTAATGCTTGTGAAGTTAGTTTTTCTAGTATGTGAAGGAATTAAAATCAAACAAGGTAGTAGGTGTAAAAACATTCTCCATAAACTATTGCCAGGGTTGTGCGAAGAGGTGTATAACTATGTGGTCAAGTTATTGCTGAAAGACTAATCAATCTAACAAATTTAGAGTTTATTAATAATACTGCTTTGAAATACCAAAAAAAGAGTGTTAAAGTGGTAAAGTGGTTGTTAGAAAAAATTATAAGAAATGGAACACTAGCTAAATGCCAAATTAGAATTACTGACTTCTTAAGAATCTTTCTTCAGAACAACAACAAAAAAATGTATGTTTTACTCTTGCCCTTGGGGCATTTCTACAAAATCTTTATATTAATTGTGATACTTTTCACAAACTAGCAAAAAGCAGTTGTGACAGTAAAAATATTTCCTTGAATCCAATAGATCTGAAAGCAGGGAAATTAACACAAAGGTTAGTGAATGGCAAAAAGTCATTCATATAGACATAGCCCATGGACACAAACAACGGTGTGGTGAAAGACGGGAGGTGGGCAAAGGGAGGAAAATGGGGGACGTCTGTAATAGTGTCAACAATAAAAAAAAACAACTAATAAAAGTTTAGCATGGTTGCTGGATTCAAAATCAACACATAGCAACAATATATCTAAAATCAGCAACGACCAGCTAGAATAGAAAGTGTAATTTACAAAATGAACTTCCCACAGCATTAAAAAATAGAAAACTCCTAGAAATAACCCTAATGAAGGCCTTTATGGAGAAAAGTTATTAAAGTTTATTGAGAGAGAGAAAAGTCATTCTGCTTTGTAGCTGTGTGGCTCGCCTTGGGGCGCGGTTTCTGGGTTTGTGGTCCTGGGAACCGGCAGGCTAGCCATGAGGATCCCAGGACCCCATCCCAGAGCCACCGACTCAAAGGGTCTGCGGTGGGGCCCCCAGGAATCTGCCTTTTTGATCATTTCAGCCAAGGTGTGATTCTCATGCACCCAGAAATTTAAAGAACAACTGCCCTAGGGGGACTATTCTGAAAATGACTCCCCTCCCCGCCCCCACGGCTCCATCCCAGCACCTTCCTCCGTCGCCCCGACACTTACCGACCCAGGGGAGGTTCTCATCCCAGACCGACCACATCTGGACGATGAAGAACGGCGTCCAGCAGACGATGTACGCCGTCACGATCACGAAAGTCATCTTCACCGTGCGGATCTTGGCGCGGGAGATGGTCTTCACGCTGCTGACGCAGGGCTCGAGCAGGAGCCCGCTGTGGAAGGCGCCGCCCGCGCCCGCCGCGCCCTTGCCCTCGCGCGACGCCGTCTTTCCGCGGACGTTGCGCCAGATGTGGTAGCAGATGAAGCCGTAGCAGGTGCCCAGGATGACCACCGGGGCCACGAAGATGCCGCCGGTCATCCAGGTCACGTAGGCGCGGGAGCCCCAGGGCTGGATGAAGGTGGCCCAGCAGTCGCGGGCCTTGGTGACGTTGTCCACCTCGACCACGGAGAAGACGAAGTACTGCGGCGTGCTCAGCACGAAGCTCAGCGCCCAGGCGGCGGCGATCATGAGGCGCGAGCGGCGCGCGGGCTGCTGCAGCGTCTTCATCGGGTGGCACACGGCGATGTAGCGGTCGGCGGTCATGACCACCAGCATGTAGGCCGACACGAACATGACGAACACCTGCAGGTGCTTCACCACGCGGCACAGCCCGTCGGGGCCCCGGAAGCGGTAGGTGATGTCCCAGCACAGCTGCGGCAGCACCTGGAAGAAAGCCACGGCCAGGTCTGCCAGGCTGAGGTGGCGGATGAACAGGTGCATGCGGGACGTCTTGCGGGGCGTGCGGCGCAGCGCCAGCAACACGCTGCTGTTGCCCACCACGGCCACCACGAACGTCACAGCTAGCACCGCGATCTCCAGCTTGGCCAGCTCCTCGTTGCGCGCGTCCCTCTTGGACCCCGCGCCTTCCCCGAGCGCCTCCGTCTCCGCAGTGGTGTTGGCGCCGCCGGTGGTCGGCCACCACCGGCTGGAGTTGCCCGCGGGCCCCGCACCGGGGCCTCTGTCGAAACGCATGCTGTCCATGCAGCGCCCCCTGGACCTCCCCGGAGGCTCGCTGCCTTCCCGCGCCCGCGGGCGTGCGCTCCTGCCCCGCGCCCTCCCTTCCGCACTCGCCGCTCGCGGCTCCT